GATCATTTTTGGGCTATGCAGAAAAGAATTTAGAGGAATTGCAGGAAGATGAGAACAGTGTATTATTACACGTAAGAGAAATTACAGAATACTTCCATGGAGATGTGAGCAAGGATGAATCAAATCCTCTTAGAATTTTTGTAATTGTCAGAGATTTTTTGGCATTGTTAGATCACGTGTGTAAAGAGCTTAGACGCTTGAAAATTCCAAGTAGTCCTAATCCTCTAGCTCCATTTCGATAGAACTAGATGGCTTGGTATGTTAAAAGTTTCAAGACTTCCATCTTTTCTCAAAAATTGAGCTGTTTCTATTGATGTTTATGCGACTCTACAGGGAAATGCAAAATGTTTGTATCAATTTCTTGCATGAGTGTACTTCAAATAGTGATTAATCTGATATATTTGGAAAATCTCAGCATATCAGAGATACACAAGCACCTTTTTCGTGCTTTCACCTTATTAGATTTTCACATGATCACTTGAGAAACTGCCTATGTTGCACTGGAGAAAGCCATAATTTGGAAAAAGAAAATATATTAAGGATGCGGGCTCTTGAATTTCAAACACCAAGAACAATATAGGATCATATCATGATCCAATGAGAATAATTATACAAGCCAAATCTCTGGCATTTACAAGATTCGGCAGAGAAAAGAAAAAAATGTCAAGGACTATGAAGAACTAAACTCCAAGATACTCTACAACTCGTCGTAAGGTTCGTCTTCTGCAGATTCAGAAGAGCTCCCACTGCTCTTTTCGTATGCCATCTTTATAACAGGATTACACACAGCTTCCACCTCTTTCATTTTCTCATCATAATCGTCCTTGTCAGCATTTTGGTTATCATCTAACCATTCCAATGCATCCTTCAGGGCACTCTCAATCTTTGTTTTGTCATCAGAATCAATCTTGGCCGCAAGTTTGTCTTTGTCATTAATGGTGCTCTTCATATTGTAAATGTATGTTTCAAGCTTGTTTCTTGCATCAATCCTCTCGCTGACCTTTTTATCCTCCTCAGCAAACTCCTCAGCCTCCTTTACCATCCGCTCAATCTCCTCCTGACTAAGTCGCCCCTTGTCATTGGTGATGGTAATAGATTGCGCCTTCTTTGCTGCCTTGTCCTCAGCTCTGACGTTTAGTATGCCATTTGCATCTAGCTCAAAAGTGACCTCAATTTGAGGCACTCCCCTGCAAGAAAAGAAACCATTTCGTGAGGCGAAGGTCAAGAGAAAGATCCACAGCCGCAAAAAAGAAAAAAATATCCACAGCACAACTTTTGGTTTACATTCTAGTTTAAGTATGAAACAGAGAAACTCGCAATGGACATCAACACTCTCTCTCTATGTACTAGAATACCTTGGGGCCGGAGGAATGCCAGACAACTCAAACCTCCCCAATTCACGACAATCCTTTGTTAAGCTCCTTTCACCTTCAAAAACCTGTCGACCACCAGAATAAGCAGTTATGAGTTGCTACAATACAGGAAAGTAGAAGAACTTCGTTTACAATTGGAAACTATTCCATCTGTAAAGTAACATAAGCCTTAGACTTATTCGTTTTCCTGCTATGAACGTATACTGTCTGGAAGGCTACTATACCTTGATAGTCACTGTAGTTTGCTGGTCTTGATAGGTTGTAAAAATCTGAGATTTCTTGGTTGGAATGACTGTGTTTCTTGGAATCAATTTGGTCATCACTCCTCCCACAGTCTCAATACCTAAGCTCAGCGGAGCCACATCTAGTAAAAGAATGCCTGCAGAGAGACGTAGAAAAGTAAGTTCTAATTCTTCAAATTATTGCGCAAAACTAAGGCTAACATAGAGATTCTTAACAGCGGACTATCAAGAAAAGTAAGACTGCTTACCCTTGGTTTCTTCACCACCTTCACCACCAAGTATTCCACCTTGAACAGCTGCTCCATAAGCTACAGCTTCATCTGGATTGATTCCTTTGCTCGGTTCTTTCCCATCAAAGAAATCCTTCAATAGTTGCTGCACCTTAGGTATCCTAGTGCTCCCACCAACGAGTACAATTTCATGGATGTCAGTCTTCTCCAAACCTGCATCCTTCAAGGCCTGCTTTACTGGCCCCATCGTCTTTTTAAACAAATCCATGTTCAATTCCTCAAATCTGGCTCTTGTGAGTGGTTCTGAGAAGTCAATACCACCAAAAAGTGACTCAATCTCAACACGGACTTGATGCTGGCTGCTCAAGGCCCGCTTTGCTCTCTCACATTCCTTCCTCAGCTTCCCAAGAGCCTTTTTGTCATTGCTGATATCCTTGTTATACTTCTTCTTGATCAGCTTCACAAAATAGTCCATAATCCTATAATCAAAATCTTCTCCTCCCAAATGTGTATCTCCGCTAGTGGCAAGAACCTCAAACACTCCATTGTCAAGACTCAATATGCTAACATCAAATGTACCACCACCGAGATCAAAAACTAAAATGTTCATCTCCTTCGATTTCTTATCAAGACCGTAGGCAATTGCTGCTGCTGTTGGTTCATTAATTATCCGTGCAACATTAAGCCCTGCAATAGTCCCTGCATCCTTGGTAGCCTGCCTCTGAGCATCATTAAAGTAAGCTGGAAACAAAACAAAACCATTAAAGATTGAACCAAATTGTCAAAAATTCCCAAGAACAAAACGTGAGTCCTGAAATTGCTGACTATACCAGGAACAGTGATGACTGCACTTCTGATTTCTTTTCCCAAATATGACTCCGCTGTTTGCTTCATTTTTTGCAAGATCATAGCACTGATTTCTTCAGGGCTAAACACCTTGACCTCTCCATCTTTGATCTTCACCTGTATATAAGGCTTCCCATCTTTGTTTACAATCTTATAAGGCAACATCTTCATATCTCTCTGAACCTCTGGATCATCAAACCTGCCATAGAAAAAGTTCAGAATAAAATCAAACCCACATTTCAGCCTAGTAGTACATTAGGAAAAATGTAACAAGCTCCAAACTTACTTTCTTCCAATCAGCCTTTTAACATCAAAAATGGTTCTTTCCGGATTAAGGGCTGCCTGATTCTTTGCAGCTTCTCCAATCAACCGCTCTGTATCAGTGAAGGCAACCCATGATGGCGTAATTCTGTTTCCTTGATCATTAGCTATAATCTCAACATTTCCATTTTTGTATACTCCCACACAAGAATATGTTGTCCCAAGATCAATTCCAATCACCGTTCCAAGATTCTTCTTCTGAGATTCCTCTGCAGCTAGTGTTATCCCTAACAAGAATTCTGCATAAATGCAGAAACGGAGTTACAGATGGTGCAAACTTTTTTTTTCCTTCCTTTTAATGCTACAGAACCCATTAGTCCCATACTGCTAACTACAAAAACATGAATGAGCCTATCAAGAAATAAAAAAGAGCGGTTCAAGAAATTGGACAAAGAAATGCAATGCAACATACCTGAAACAAACAGAAGAAAAATCCATAATGCTTTGCTCTTCTTGTAACCCATTCTTGTTCTCAATATCCTTGTTAACTCTTTGAATTTCCCTAGTAACTAATTAAAATTTTTCACAATTTTGGCTAGTTGAAGATTGAAGATGAATGACCAATTTTAGCTTAGCAAGTTTGGATGGGAGAATCAGAATCAGTGGAGCATTTATTATAGTTTTGGATGGTACTTTGGTGGGAAAACAGTAGTGTATTTGCTAGAGTGTTCTGGTCGCGTCTGTTAAAGACACGCAAGAAGTTGGTTGTGCTATGGTGTCTGCGCCTGTAGATTAGCTCCACGTTACGGAGCCAATAGGAAAGGAAAACGTTTGCTTTTCTAGTCATATATTTTGTACTGATCGGTGAGTCTTGAAAGTTCTTTGATTTGGGTTAGAATTGATGATTAAAAGACGCTTTTGCCAATAATTTGCTTTCTTTACTAGGGCCAAGCAATTGGAGCTCCAACGTGCAAAAAAATGGAATATATGAACTAAAAGAAGGGAAAACTTGTAGTAGCTTTTTTTTCACGACGATTGATACTTAATTTCCATTACTCGAAAGCCAATTAACGTTAGAATAATTTCAATGCAAAGTGGGCTTAAAGCTAATCTTGGATCAACTCTATGTTCATGGTAATTCGGGTTAATTTTTTAGAATGACAGAGAATTTTGATAGCAATTCAGGGTGAGTGATTCATGATACGTGTGGAAATTATCACAAATCTAATAAAATAAGAACCTCTTTGAAGATTGTAAAGACCAAAATTAAACCGCACAGGTAAAGGAGTTATAACTTTAAATAGTAGAGACATGAAATAGAATGAAGTCGTGAATTGACTCTCAAATACTACACCTCCGGTATTTTTTGACATTTGAGGTGATTCCGTTACGAATGATCATTTCCATTATTTTGACACTTTAATTCAAATCATGAGGGGGTTATGTATAATTTTTAAAACTATAAAGGAATTATGTAAAAAAAAACTAAACCATAGGAGGTAAAGTGTAACTTGTCCAAAAAAAGAAAGAAAAGTAAAAAAGCAATACAATTTCTTACTTTACATTATATAAACTCTGGAGCTCTTAAACATCTTTAACCCTTAATAACTTTTGGTTAACTGGTGTAAAGACTTTATATGCGTTTAAACCTCATAGCTGGAGACTTCTGGTTGCCTGCCGCTGGAGTTCCTTGCATTGGTGCATTTCTGTATTAGTAGAGTTTTTCAACTTGATCATTTCTTATTTTCTTGGAGCTGATTAAAGATTAGTGAAGCAAAAACTAACAAATGAAGACCAATTAATCTCTCTTCTTTTTTTTTTTTTTGAAACAAAAGATATTTTGATCAAGATGCCAAATCACATTAAGCATCCAATTCTCCTTCGTTTTTCCACAATCTTTTTCTTGTAATCAGAATAAATATTCCCTATTTTTAGCTTATGGTTTTGTAGCATCTTCCTGCCCTACTCTGTTGACTTATCCAGCTATGCCATCCACAATTTGTCCATGGTTATAGATTTTGAATTGTTTGTTGCCTTGTCCTCAGCTGTCACATGCAATAGTCCATCAGAATCAACATGAAAAGTGGCCTTAATTTTTGGCACCCCCCTGCCAAAAAATGAAAAACCATTTAATCACTGATTGCAAATCTTGAAATAACAACACAGACCATCTGAAAGATCTAATTCTAGTTAACCAATCACAAGTTGGCAAAAATCTGTTTCGAGACTCTCTTAACATGTTTTTGCATCACTTTTTCTTTTTTATTCTTTTAGCCACATTTTTGTCTCATATATATCACGTAACAAAATAGAATGCTCCAGTAACTTTTCGACCAGAGCACAGTCAATGTTAAGATCAAGAATGAAATGGGAAGAACCTGGAAAAAAAACTGCTTATTTCATCCTATTTGAAGGTTGCTCGGGGATCTAAATTTATTTGCCGAAATTCTTACTTTCGTAAGAAAATGTCGGAAGGAGAAATGGACCTTTTTCTTTTGGACTCTAGCTAGATAAGTCTCTCACCTTGGGGCAGGAGGAATTCCAGAAAACTGCAACATTCCCAACTTGCGACAATATTTTGTCAATCTCTCATTGCCCGAAAAAGTCTGACATGAGTATAAGCCTTGATTAATGCAGCATACAAAGAAATACTCGTGGCTCCATCTGGATTCTTATGTACTTCAAACATTTGATATATATATATAAAAAAAAAAAAGGGTTTTTCTAACGGTGTCTATAGCGCATTCGTTAACACATCTAATATCCACTTAACCTATCATGTATTTACATAAACTAACAATTATTACCCTTCCTTGCATTTATATACTTTCCCTATTTAATCTTACCTATTTTTATTTGTATTTATTTACTTTCCCTAATTAATCTCACATTTCAAAAAAATATGACACTTGAAATATATTTTAACGAGTGTCCTATGGCACCTGTTAGATAGACCGATAAAAAAAATTTCAAATATGTTCTCCAAAAACCTTTCCATTATACATAAGCATTCGTGGTAGATAAAGTACTGAAGTAATGTGTTTACTAGTCCCGAAAGACACCATAGTCTAATGGAGTCGGGCTACTTTTTCTATGTCATTTTCTGATCTTTGTAAAACAAAAAAAAAAAAATGCCACAGAACAGAATACTTAGGCCATTTACCTCTTTTTCTTTTCTTTTTTTTAGGTAGAAAAATACAAGCACATTATTTATAGAATACAACATGTTGTAAAAACCTGAGATTTCTTTTTTGGTACTAGTGACCCCCTTGGGATCACATCCGTCATTACTCCTCCTTAGACACAGGAATCAGAACGACTCCAAGGAAAAATGGCATAATTAGATAGCATTATATTTCTTTGAAATTATCAACTCCTGAGTACATAAAATATTACTACAATTTACGAGTACTTATATTGCTTACTGTCTTGTATATAATGACTGCCTTGTATGTGATGCGTTTTTTGATCAATTGCAGCCTTCCCATTCAAACGCTGTGTTTTCTGCTTCTCATACACAGCTACACAAGAATTTGTTGTCCCAAGCTCAATGCTAATTGCTGTTTCAACATTCTGCTTATCAAACCCCTCCGCAGCTGCAGATGTTCCGAGAACCATTTCTTTATAATACCGAAAGAAAACAAGGAAAAAGGTTATGGTTGTTCATTAAGCAGAGATCATATTTCTTGAAATTATTAGAAAACACAAACCAAAAAAAATAAAAATTGGAACCCAACTTAAGCAATATTAATTGGTTGAGATGCTAAGTTCTAACCAAAACCTGAATTACAAAATAACTAGAACTCTTGCCAAAGCACAGTTTTATACAGTATAGATGTGACATGATCAATTACCTGAAGCTAAACGAATTTAAAAGATTAACAGCATACTTAACAAGGTTATGAGTATGCACATTAAACGACTTAGAAATCCATGCAACTTCTCCAGCACGTGAAATCTTGACATAAGACAATGATATCATCAATCAACAAACCATGTGATGAATCGTCAGATTCCAAACGATCCAGCATTTTGACGACTTTTTGTGATTCTCCTTCCAAAATAATCTTTTTGAAACCCAAAACAATTGTTTTTATACAGTATAAATGTGACATGATCAATTACCTGAAACTAAAAGAACAAGAATCCAAACTGCTATATTCTCGCTGTACCTCATTATATCTTGGTTGCAAGATTTGACCCCTCGTGCATATATTTATGTAGTGAATTAGTTTAGCCAAGAGATCAAAGATTATTGGGCAAGTTTGATTCTGAATAGACTTTGTAGGGTTTTGGGGGCGGAAGTTAGAGGGAGGGACTAACCAATATCGTATAGTCACTGTATGAAATCTGGCCAATATTTTGATGACACTTGGGAGTCGTTTCGGTGTGGTGATTGCGGCTGTAAGTTGGTTCCACGTTGTCGGGCCTATGGAAATGGGACACGTCAGTCTTTGATGACATGGATTTATGTGTAGTTGATTTTTGGGCTTATGAAAAGAAAACTTAAGAGGGATATTTGCCAGCCAAGGACAATCAACACAAATCTTGTGTCTCTTTTGACATTGAATTAAGAAAAAAGGAAGAAAAAAACATAGAATTATTTAGATAACTTTTAGTACTTCATCATAACACAAATCTTGAATTCCTTAACAGATTAATAATGCTTGCTTGTTGAGATCAAATTGGAAGCCAAAATTAAGCTCCATACTCTGAAAAGCTTTCCACATATCACTTGCATAACCAGTTCATACCGTAGTTTTCGTAAGGAGAACTCAAATTGACAGAAGTAGTTTTGACCACACTAACAATTCTCAAGGTTATGATTATTACACGTTTAAATACGAAGATTTGTCAAGTTATCCAATTCAACGTCTTAATAAATTTTTTCGAAAAAAGTTCGTGTAATTTAGGGGTTGAATTTCAAGCTTAAAGCATTTATGTTAAATAACCCTCCACTTTGCTATTTTAATTTATGATCAGAGGGCACAAATTAAATAGAAGAAATCCTTTTTCATAAACTAAACTGAGTGGCAAGGCCATCTACTATTTTGATTATTATTGATCATGGATGCATACCACTATGAAGAAGTAAATACACATTATCCGAACCTGATGTCCCATTCTGGATGATGATAGAAACTTAGGGCGCTTGGTTCACGCTCAGGAATTGGAATTGGATATGGAATTATATGCAAAAAAATCAGTATGGGTATGAGCTACTGGAATTATATTTAATCCAGCATAAATTTAATAAATTTAACAAAGAAAACAAAAAAAAATGTCCATCATTTTTTTCAAGAAAAAGAAAACCTATGACATGAATTACCTGAAACAAAGAGAAGAAGTATCCATAATGCTTAGGTCTTGTGTTAACTAAATATGTTTTTTTGTTTCTTTTTCGAGGTTGTTTTCTTTTTATATTTCTTCTTTTTGTATATATTTCATAACGTAGATTGGCTAAAGGATCAAAGACAATTGAAAATTTTCAACCCCTGGTAGAGAATTGGAGGGGCTAATTTATAGTTTCTGAAAACTTTTGGGTAGCTAAAGGTATTTGCCAGAGTGTTCTCCAACACGTAAAACGTCGTGAGGAGACGGAGGGGTTTTGGTAATTTGCAGTGCACTCGCGAATCAGCTGCACGCCTTATATCCAATAGCAAAATGACACGTTTCCCTATGATATCATTAAGTTACAAGAGTCCCAGAGCCGAGTTCTTGATTGGTATAAAATGGAGGGCCCAAGAAGGTTATTTTAGTCAATGAGTTATGATTTTAAAATAAAATATACAGAAAATGGGAAAAGAATCGTATTTGTTTGGATAGCCTCATTATCCCAAAGAATATTTTGCTTGCATCATAAACACATTTTTCAATCCAACTTTTTATATTTCCAATCATCTTTTTATCTCACATACATCATATCATAAAAAGTGCTACAGTAATTATTTCAAATAATATTTCAACTAATACTACTCTATCCAAACAAAAATTCTTTTTGGACTTGAATTTTAGAGAAATAGTAAATAATCTGAAATTAACATCGGAAAAAAATGGGTAAAAAATGCACTCTAGTGGAACTATTACTTCATATTTTGAAAATTTTTTTAAACCAAGATTGAAAATAATTCTTTCAAAAGTAAGATCGTATATAGTTCGTTAGGTTAAATGGATTTAACAATGATATGAACAACTTAACCAAGTTAAAATATTCAATTATTTCTTTTGTTTATTAACTCACAATTTAAGAAGTTAAATCAGAAACTATCCCTCCACCTTCACCCTTTTTTTTAGGTCTCAGTCCTTTTTCTTGTTGAAATTATTTTTAAGTTAAATTGAAAACTCAAATTTTCAATCTTTTTATTTTCTTTTCTTTTTTGAGAATAAAGGATAATTCCGATCACACTCGAAGAAGACAGAAATAAAAAAAAAAAGGAAAAATAAAAATAGACGGAGTTGTAGTGAGAAAAGGAACCTCCTAAATTTTGACACAAAGTGACGTTGTGGAAAGTGTTTGAACCAATGAAATTGGTTCTTTTTGAAACATTGCATCATCCCAAGTTCCCAACCAATTCAAGAACTCGACAGTCGACAGAATTTGGATACTGTTTTGACCCTTTTCTCGCACTGCAAAGCTATAAATACACATCCCACCAGCCCCCGATAGGCATCGTCCCATATCCCCAAGCCTTCAGATACCAATACATATTAGTTTCAATATTCTTGATTCATATCTCTCTATTCCTAAGACACACAGCACAACAATGGCTTGTTTTTCTTCCGTGAAGAATAAAGCTTTTTGGCTTCTTCTCCTATTCGTTTCAGGTACTCATTCGTAAGTTGTAAATAGTACTTATTTGTTTCTAAGGATCATCAATTCGTTAATATAATACTATACTCAATTTTCTTGGACGACTTCTTATATTTTTCCGAACTTTCGTTTTCCTGCATCTGCATGTATGTTACCAATGTTTCCGGAGACCACCAATAAGTTTATGAATTGTGCATAGAAAGAAGAGAAGATTGCATGGTGTAACAACTTTAATATTCCAATTACTTTATGCTAATTTGGAACAGGAATTTTCACCTGTTCGATTGCTTGGCTAACTAGGAAAATTTCAGATGATTAATTATACTTTTGAATTAGAATTTTGCATCAGAATGTTATCTGTAGTACTTATCAATATCGAACAATCCAACTTGAATAGTTCTACAACTTGTTTTACTTGAATTAGGCAAATATACGAGGGAAGTCTCTAACTTTCTTTTTTTTTTTTTTTTGACAAATTGTGAAGAATTCTTGGCAGGGGTAACATTAGCTGCAGAGGACAGTCAGAAGCAAAATCTTGGGACAGTGATAGGCATTGACCTGGGGACTACGTACTCCTGTGTGGGGGTGTATCGAAACGGTAACGTTGAGATCATAGCCAATGACCAAGGAAACAGAATCACCCCATCATGGGTAGCATTCACCGATACTGAGAGATTGATTGGAGAGGCTGCGAAGAATCAGGCAGCCCTTAACCCCGAATCCACCGTCTTTGATGTTAAAAGGTTTATCGGAAGAAAGTTCGATGATCCTGAGGTTCAAAGAGACATGAAGCTCTTGCCTTATAAGGTTGTCAACAAAGATGGGAAACCTTATATTGATGTCAAGATGAAGAACGGTGAGATGAAGTTGTTAAGTCCAGAGGAAGTCAGTGCTATGGTGCTGCAAAGGATGAAGCAAACAGCTGAGTCTTATTTGGGAAAAGAAGTTAAGAATGCAGTTGTTACTGTTCCAGGTACATTATCTATTTAAGATAGTTAAAAGCTTGCACTGCTTTTAATCAAAACCATCGATGTTAAATTAGAATAACTAGTCGAGGTTGGTTTTTTGCATCTGATTACTGATTTATGTATTTGCATCTGCAGCTTATTTCAATGATGCACAAAGGCAAGCTACCAAAGATGCTGGCACTATTGCAGGGCTGAACGTTGTTCGGATTATTAATGAGCCGACAGCAGCTGCAATTGCTTATGGTCTTGATAAGCAACAAAAAGAGAGGAATATTCTAGTTTTTGATCTTGGTGGTGGTACTTTTGATGTTAGTATATTGGCCCTTGATGGAGGTGTTTTTGAGGTTCTTTCCACCAATGGCAACACTCACTTGGGAGGAGAAGATTTTGATCAGAGAGTGATGGACCATTTTGTAAAATTGATTAAGAAGAAATACAACAAAGATATCAGCAATGATAAGAAGGCTCTTGGGAAGCTCAGGAAGGAGTGTGAGAGAGCTAAGAGGGCCTTGAGTAACCAGCACCAAGTGCGCGTTGAGATCGAGTCACTGTTTGATGGAACTGACTTTTCTGAGCCACTGACGAGAGCAAGGTTTGAAGAATTGAACATGGATCTATTCAAAAAGACCATGGCACCAGTGAAGCAGGCCTTGAAGGATGCAGGCTTGGAGAAGAGCGCCATTGATGAAATTGTGCTGGTTGGAGGGAGCACTCGGATTCCTAAGGTGCAGCAGCTGTTGAAGGAGTTCTTTGATGGAAAAGAACCAAGCAGGGGGATCAATCCAGATGAGGCCGTAGCTCATGGGGCAGCAGTTCAAGGTGCAATCCTAGGTGGTCATGGCGGCGAAGAAACTAAGGGTATGTGATTTTCATATAGCAATTTGTTCAACTTTGATCGGTTCAATTTGGGGAATGACTTTAAATGTGACGTCCATGTGGTTCTGCATTCTGTCTTCCGCAGATGTACTTGTCATTGATGTAACTCCCTTGAGTCTGGGGCTCGAGACCGTTGGTGGAGTTATGACAAAATTGATTCCAAGAAACAGTGGCATCCCAATCAAGAAGTCTCAGGTCTTCACAACTTATCAAGACCAGCAAACTACAGTTTCAATCAAGGTATGATCAAATGCTGATAACTTTGTTACATTGTTAGTGGGAAGAGATCTTTAATCCTCTTTTAACTGGCACTAGTACAAAAACCAATTTCTTGCTGGAAACTTGTAGGTTTATCAAGGTGAAAGGAGCCTAACAAAAGATTGTCACGAGCTAGGAAAATTCGACTTGTCTGGCATTCCTCCTGCTCCTAGGTAACACACAATCTCTAAGACAATCAATTAATTCTTCTTCAACCTTTAAGATGAACTTCCTAAACAATGCTTATCATGTCGTTGTAGGGGTGTGCCCCAAATTGAGGTCACATTTGAGGTGGACGCGAACGGTATCTTACAGGTGACTGCCATGGACAAGGCAGCAAAGAAGTCGAACTCAATTACCATCACGAACGAGAAAGGGCGTCTAACGCCGGAGGAAATTGATAGGATGGTAAAGGAGGCAGAAGAGTTTGCAGATGACGACAAGGAGCTGAGAGAGAAGATTGATTCTAGAAACAAACTCGAGAGCTACATTTACAACATGAAGAGCTCCATCAGGGATGATGAGAAGCTCGCGGGCAAAATTGATTCTGATGACAAAGAGAGCATTGAGACAGCCCTGAAGGATGCACTTGAATGGTTGGATGACAACCAAAATGCAGAGAAGTTAGACTACGATGAGAAGATGGCAGAGTTAGAAGCTGCATTCAATCCTATCATAAGGAAGGCATATGAAAGCAGTGCTGGAAGCTCTGCTGATCCAGAAGATGAATCTAACTATGAATTGTAATCCGCTTATCCTGAAGACGAATCTGACTATGAATTGCGAAGTGGAGTTTAGGAGTTGGAAATATTTTTATTTTATATTTTTTAGTTTCATTTTTGCTAATGGGTACAGATTTTCTCCATACAACAAAGGGATTACGAAGCCACACACACACACACAAAAGAATGATATATTGACTCCGAAGTTGTGTGATTTTATCTCTATATCTTGATTAACAAGTTCATCAGAATTTATATCTTGAATTTTTATTCTTTGTCTGTTTATGATTTCTTTGTGAGAAAGAGTTTTAAGACTTTGAAAGTGCAAAAGAATACATACTCCTATCAAGTAATTCAGTAATTCTCCGTGGCCTTTGTGCTCTTATCTGATGTCCAATCTATTTAGGTGCAGAATGGTCTAGGAAAGAAAGATCTCTACCTCAAATTTTGTGTTCCACTTGACAATTGCATGAATGACAGAAGAAAGGGGGGAGAGCAAAAGGCAAAGCCATTAAAGCCAAAAGGCGAAAATGGACCCATAATCAAAACAACTGCAAAAAAACAAGGGGAAAAGATTTAAAAGATAGACAAATGGGCGCTGATTTAGTGCATCTCCCCTTATCTTCATGGAGCAAGTTCAATGCTCTGTTTTCAGACTCGGACCGGACCGGCCGGTCGAACCGGTCGAACCGGAAACCGGCCAGGTAGCCGGTCCGAGTCACATTAGAAAACCGGAAATTTAAAATCCGGTCAAAGCCGGTCAAAAACCGGGTTTGACCGGGTTTGACCGGGAAAAAACCGGTTTTTCCGGTTCAACAGTAATTTTTTTTTAAAAAAATTCAAACTTTTTAATATTATGTTTTGACCCCCTAAATTGTTAAAACTTATTGATATAGCTCAAATATTTGATACTTTATAAATATTGTCCTAAAATTTGATGTTATTTTTCAATTAAATTCATAATTTTAATTCTAAACTTGTTAATATTTATTAAATAATATAAATTGCTACTTGATTGTTCTAATTTCTTTGTATTTTCTTGTTAAATATATTTGAAACATCAAATATATATGAATATGCCTTTATTAATATCAATATATTATTAGATATTATATATATAATATTTTAATTTTTAAATAATTTTTATTTATGACGTCATCCGGTTCGACCCCTATCGACCCCCCGTCGAACCCATTGACCCCTGACCCCTGACCTCGGCCGAGTCGCTATCCGGTCCGGTTCTGAAAACATAGGTTCAATGTATCACACAAACAAAAAGTCTTGTGACCTTGTAAAGAGTACTATATAGTGTTTTTTTTTTTTTTTTTTGACAAAAGAGCACTATATGGTTCACATCAACTTTTAGACCAAATTTGGCCATTAAAACAGAAGTTTGGGACCTTTGTTACCTACCAAAAGCAAGGACAGTTGCTAGTGATAATTATTCTTGATTTTTAAAATCTAGCATCCGGGCAACGGAACAAGTTAAAAAATGTAACGTCTGTCATATTGAATCTTTTTGATCCAATATTAGTGTTTAGCTAATATTTTCCATTTTTCTACCCCAAATTCCGATTTTGACGCCCTACTTATCCCAAGATACTTTCTGCACTCCTACTCATTCTAGTCCCACTCATAACTTCGGAGGGAAAGTTCGTTACAGTGATTTTTTTCAGATTTCAATTTCAGTGTCATCTCATTTGAATTTTTGTTTCATTTCATTCTCCAACACACTTATCTTTTTTATATCTCACATACGTCATAAAAGTACTATAATAATTATTTTTAAAATTGAGTTGTATATAAAGTAGGCATTAGGCAAGGAAAGGATCACAGCAAATTTGCAAATAACTCTCAGTTTCCTTCCGTAACTCTCCGGCCAAGAGTTCCGGTACGTTTCCCTTTCCCTGGTCTCTGGTACTTTTCTATTCCTAGTGATTTCCTATATCAGTTTTATCATGTGATCCTGACCTTTTTGAGACATCTGGAAATGATATCATTTGAGGTAGGCATTTCTGGCAGACCCATTTTGAAATCTGTGCAGTCTGTAGGATAAAAATGTTTCAGATAGATGTTTGTTTGGCAATTGCATACTTGTAGTTTGATTTCCTTATTCATCATCTGAATCTGGATTCTTGTTTTAATCTTTTTTTGTTGCTTTTCCTTTCAGTTGTCATGGTGTGTTACATGACTTCTGACTGTCAAGTATGATTTTGTGTATTCGCCTCTTTGGGTCAGGGATCGAGTATTTGTCTGATTAGATCATGTACTCTGATGTTCTTGTGGTAGCAGTGTTCCATGAGATCGTGTTCTCTGATGCTAAAAAATTATTGCGGTTGCAGTGTTTCATTTGAGTAAAACAATAAAGGAGGGTTTTGTAAAATTTTTGTAACGAATGTTGAATACTGCCCTCGTTGTGCATTTTGAGCCATATGATTCTCTCATATAGGAAGTAGCCAAGCCCATTGAAGTTGATTTTGTTTAGTGACAATTTAGTAGTGGGCAAGCTGTTGAGAACGATTAGTTATTATTCTTATGCACACAGGGAGTATCATGCGTCCCTTCTTATAAAGGGATGAAGTAAATACAGCACGCATAGGGTTCTGTAGGACTTGTCTGTGAGCCAGCCCATTTGTGCAAGTGAACAAAGCTTGAGGGTTTCTCAAGCATAAACACAAGCAGCAGCGGCCGCGGGAGCTTTCTTCCTTTTTACGTTTAGGGAGTTAGAAAAAGGTCAGTCGCCACTCTTTCATTTTGGTGAAAAACGACGAAGAGTGAAATAGCAGAAAGAGAGAGAGAGAGAGAAATAACTTCAAGGCCTCGGTTGGAAGGTGATTTGAAGTCCGATTGAGACGAAACTTCACACACACGCGATCCTCTCGTCAAGTTCTACTCATCTTCCGATTCAGATTTTGAATTTCCTCTTCGTTTGGTAACATCTTTCCAAACCCATTTCTTTGACAGTTATAGTTTTTGGGGGTGATTTTATAGCAGATTTGCTTAGTTGATATTAATGATATTATTGTCATTCGAATTTTCGAATAGACCTATGTATTCCTATTATTGTGATAGTGGAGATTTTTTACTGGATTAGGTCCCGTGATTTTTTCTAATTTGGGTTTTCCACGGAAAAAGTTGGTATCATGTGTCTTTTATTTTTCTTGCATTTTATTATCACTGCTGGTATTATTACTTGGTGATTTGGTTTATTCCTGTTTTAACTGATACATGGGGAAAGAGAAATTTGTCCTGGGCTAACTCTGATATTGTGTAACTATACCGGTACCCCTTCCCAACAGGTTCTTTTGTGTTGGGTTTTGGATGTTTCGTTTCAAACAGGTAAGAAATAGGAGTAAAAAAAATTAAGGGAAAAAGATTTTATGGAAAGCAGCTTATCTTTTTTTTTTTTTCCGAGCAAAGGCAGCTTATCTTAGAGCTAAAGAGTTGATTAATTGGCCGGAGACTGATTGAATAGAACCTTGATTTGTTATGAGCTTCTGATTTTTGTTTGTCTAATCTTGCAAGAGCCTTTGATTAGTTGTAGGTTGCATCTGGAGTTTGAGATTTGTGTATGTAGATTACTCAGTGAATTGTCCTTTCTCCACTTCTCTCTTTCATCATAGTTTCCTTTTGTTTTGTTCTTATCTCTTTTTTGCTCTCTATCTGCCGCAGATTGCCAATACTCCATGGGTAAAGGGGCGAGAAAGAAGAGGCATGAAACCGTAACAAATGAAGCTCATGGCATAGGGTTTGCAGTAGTAACTGATGAAGATTCTGAAACAGAGGTTGCCTCAATTCAGCAAGTTGATGCCAAAATTGAAGCTCTCACCAATAGGTTCGACAGTATCCTTGGGGTTGTCAAAAATATGTCTGTGCAACTTGAAGAAATATCATGTGGTATGAAGGGTCTAATGAACAAGGGGAAGAAGATGGATGCTTGTGGCATATCAACTCGAGAAGTGTCTGATAACTTAGAACTGGGGCGAGACATCATTGGAGAATTTCATAATCTGAAACAGACGGGCTCTGTCGCGGAGTATCAAGAGAAATTTGCTGAGTTGAGAGACTTGTTGATGACAATGAATTATGGGCTTACAGAAGATTATTTCATTTCCAGTTTCCTGAGTGGACTCAAGGAAGAAATTAGACGTGTAATCCGCAAGCCAAAACCGGAGACCCTTATTCATGCTTTCAACCTTGCACGCATCCAGGAAATAGCAATTGAAGTGATGAAAGTGAAGTTAGTCTCTTCAGAAATGAGGACTAATCGAGAGCAAATCTTGCCTTGTGAATCAGTTGATGTTTTCATTGATCAAGGCCACCCTGCCAAGTTTAAAGTTTTAGCAGGGAAAAGGGACACAACAGTTATCATATCTACTGGCGTTCCTTATAGCTTCATCGACACTGATGTAGCAATTCAGGCAGGGTTTGAGATGGAGGAGACCACGCCGCTGCTTGTGAATTTTGTATTTGGTCTATACCAAGCAGTCAGCAGATTCAGATGTCCAAGCTTCAGGTGGACCGTGCAAGGTCATGAGTTCGTAACTGATATGAGAATCGTGGAAATAAGAGCATGTGACATGGTGTTAGGCGGGGACTGGGTCTCAAATAATTACCCTTTGACGTTCACTGGAGATAGGATTGTCCTGCTAAAGGGTGGAAAGGAAATAGTGTTGCTAGATAAAACAGGATCAGCTAAGCCTAAGATGAACAAAGGGAAGTAATTGGAGAAGAATGATTGACTAACGCAGCACCGTACCTGTGCTAAACAAATGGTTAGTAGTAATAGAAAATGCTTTTTTTTTTTTTTTTGTTTAATAGAGATGGAGGAGGTTTGATGACAAGTATTACTTTGTGATAATCCTACTCTCCGGTGTGTATGTACAGCTGCATTCTTCCTTTCCCTCCTGCTACAAATTTTCATCATATCTCTGCAGTTCTTTATAATTGTTACCTCAACGCTTCTCCTCTTTCCTATGGGAATTAATCTGTGGCTAGAGGCTTAATTTCTAGTAATTTCTCCTTGTGGCACACCTGCAAAAGTGAAATGGAGTAATATACAGGCCAGTGCTGATCTTAACATCGTTAAAGAACTATTTCTAGTTGCATTGATAAGGCGTTTCTTGAAAGAATCTTTGCCGTTGCCTTTATTTGTATTTCTCCTTGAATTCTTGATTGCTCATTTTTGTTTCCATTAGGATTCGTTTCCTTACAAGAACAAATTTTATTTTTTGCTTCTCCGGGTTTGTAATTTTCTTATTAGCAAAACCTTTTATCTCGTTGTTTGTGGCATCCGCATAGAGGACTTGTAAGTCATTTTTGTGTTCTTGAATTTTGTACACGGTTCTAAACAAGAAATAACTTGGTTAAGTTTCTCCCCTCGAGTCTTTGACAAACCATTTTTGTCAGTTATGCTGCGCTGGAATGGGAAGGGCAAACCGCTGTTCATTAGTACTAGTATTTTGTAAAGGGAGAACTCTTTGTTAAGGTTGTCTTTGCTTCTCTAGTTGACTCAAAATCAGAATTGCATCCAGTCTAAGTATCCAACAAGATTTTCTTGCCACTGTCATACAACTGCAGTTCTGACAAATGTATATAATTGCATGAATTTAGAACCATTTGTTCCACTTGACAATTGCGTGAATGTAGGACCCTTGTACCACTTGACAACTAGATGAATGACAGAAAAATCAAAAAAGGAGAAAGCTGCACCCTTAAAAGGCGCAATTATTAATAAAGCAAGACTTTACACATCCCCCCACTACATATTTACGTCTCTTGTGTAAAGGGAGGCGAAAATGGAGCTATAATCAAAACAACTGCAAAAGGAAGAGGGAGAAAAAAAACCTATGAGTTTGGTTCAACGGCCAACCTCACCTGCAGCAAAAAAATTTTAAAGGTGGTACTATAACACTCGCTTGATCTAATCAGGTCTGCATATCTCCTAACCCTTAATACGCAAGCCTCCTTAGACTCTCCCTCCCCTGTAGATTAGGATAGATTAGGTTATACAATTGTTATGATTGTCAAAAAAAAAGCAAGCCGAGGAGATGGAGAAAAGGGTGAGAATATGAGAGGAAAGAAACAGAAGCTCTCGTTAGCAATTTGATACCATTCCTAGGACCTCCTCTCCAAAGATTCCTAAGTTTGTACAACTAAGTCCCTTATTTAGCCACTGCAACTAAAAGATCCCTTCAGTTACGTCTATGCAATAAAGGTCTAAATGCTAGCTAACTCTACTAACCCCCGGTAATTGCTAGCCACATTGGGCTCGACTTGTCCGCAGTCAAGTCGGGTCAAACTCCATGAGACGGCAAGCTCTCCCAATGCCTATCTCTTTATTTACAAAATTCGAATTCAAGGCCTTATTTGAGAAGAATCGAGTTCGTTATCATTCGGTCAATAGGCTTGTTATGTAAAACTTTATTTTAAGGGACATGTTAGATTGACATCCTAATAACCAAAATCCACACTCCTACTGCATTAAAGACTTGTACCATAAGTATCGATAACTTGCACCATAAGTATAAGAGATTGTACCAAGCACGAACCTTACTTAAAAAGAAGAATCGAGAGTTCGTTACCATTCAGTCAATGGGCGTGTCATGTAAAATTTTATTTTAAGGAACATGTTAGATTGACACCTTAACAACTTAAATCCACACTCCTACTGCATTAAAGACTTGTACCATAAGTATCGATAACTTGCGCCATAAGTATTAGAGATTGTACCAAGCATGAATTTAACATGGAGAGGTATAAATTTAGTATCTCCCTTGTTTATATTGACTCTTGTTTTAAATATTACATAAATTCAAATTCACTTATATATAACGTTAACATTTGGGTAGATTCGGTTTTCAAAAATTCAATAATTCATATTATGCCACATCATCTCACCAACTGGTGTGCCACAATTTGGACTATTGGATATTTGAAAATTAGGTCCACCCAAGTTTTGGATGATAAAGATGAGTTTCACTTTGATATGGCATGTTTAGGGTTTCCGGGAAATGTTCTCACGTTGATTTAGTGCATCTACCCTGATTTTCATGGAGCACAGGTAAAATAAATTGTCAATTGTTCAAGATGACATTTTCAAAACGTTCAATGTATATGATAAAGTCTTACGACATCGTAACGAGTACTAATTTAGTTCACGACAAATTTTAGGCCAAATTTGGCCATTATAAAAGTTTGGGACCGTTGTTACCTACAAAAACGAGGACAGTTGCTTGTGATGATTATTCCTAATTTTTAAGGGAAATGTTATTTACACTCTATTTTTTTATTTGCACTTCCACTATTTTTTTTATATACTCTAATAAATGAAAACATATTATTAGAATGATAGTAGAAGTGTGATTAACAAATATGGGAGTGTAAATAATATTTCTCATTTTTAAAATCTAGCATTTGGCCAATAGAACAAGCTTAAAAATGTACCATCCGTATAACCCTACATAAATCTCACACATTTGATATTAAATTTTGAAAAAAATCATTTAAAACATCCCTCATATTTCACTAAATGACTTTTTTCGTCCTTCACTTTTAAAAATTATAACTTTATATCACTTATAAAATTAACATGGTAAAATTTAGTCTAAATCTAGATTTTTGACCACTTTTTACCCTAAATCATCGTGTAATCGGCACATGATCATTTTTTTAGGAGAAAAAAGATTAAATCCTATTTGTAGTAAAACAAACGACCTAATCTACATTCATTTATGTCCCTAAAAAAGGTAGAATCTAATGTAAACTATATTCATTTTCTCCTAAAAAAGTGAGGTCTAGTCCAATGCATATTTATTTTGGCTACAAATAAAATGAAATCTAACCTTTTGCTATATAAGAAACAACTGCATGTAGGTAACATGATTTTAGACTAAAAAGTAGTTAGAAACTTAAGTTGAGACTAAATTTTGCTGATTTAAATTTATAAGGGGCGTAAAGTTGACATTTCAAAAGAGAAAGATGAAAAAATTCATTTGATAAAATATGAGAGAGTCCTGAACGATTTTTCCTTAAGTTTTCATTATAAACAATAATGATTTTTAACATGCACATTGCAATTAGAATGTTTGAATACGAGATTATTTGAATAACTATTGTAGCACTTTTTATAATATAATATATGTGAGATAAAAATATAATTAAAATTATAAAAAAGCGGTCAGAACATGTGTTTATGAGGTAAACAAAATAATTGTTGTATATCAGAATCAATTACAAAATAACTGTTGTATATCAGAATCAATCACAAAATAACTGTTGTATATCAGAATCAATTACTATTCAAGCACTATTTTAAATTTTTTTTTAACGAATGTTGAACAATGCCCTCGTTGTGCATTTCAAGCCATATGATTCTCTCAAATAGGACAAAGCCAAGCCCCTTAAAGTTGATTTTTGTTTAGTGACAATTTAGTAGTGGTCAGGCTGTGGAGAACGATTACTTATTATTCTTCTACAGGGAGTATCATGTGTCTCTTCTTATAAAGGGATGAAGTAAATATAGCACGCATAGGGCTCTTTTGTGTTGGGTTTTGGATGTTTCATTACAATCAAGTGAGAAATAGGGGTTAATCTCTTCAGAAATGAGGACTAATCGGGAGCAAATCTTGCCTTTTGAATCAGTTGATGTTCTCATTGATCAAGGCTACCCCGCCACGTCTAAGCTTTAGTAGGAGAAAGGGTCATAACAGGCATAATATTTACTGGCAGTCCATATAGTTTCGTCAACACTGATGTAGCAATACAGGCAGGGTCAAAGATGGAGGAGACCATACCACTGCTTGTGAAGTTTGTCATGGGCGGATACCAAGCAGTCAGCAGATTCAGATGTCCAAGGTTCAGGTGGACTGTGCAAGATCATGAGTTCGTAACTGATATGAGAATCGTGGAGATAAGACTCAAGAGCATGTGACATGGTGTAAGGTGCGGGCTGGGCTTTACAAAATTTTTCACTGGAGATACAAGTGTCCTGCAAAAGGGAGGAAAGGCAATAGTGTTGCTAGATAAAAGAGGATCAGCCAAGTCTAAGATGAACAAAGGGAAGTAATTAGAGAAGATTGATTGACTAATGCAGCTCTATGCTAGTGTGATTAGTTGTGATACAAAATGTTCTGTTTATCTGATCTTTTCCTTTTTTTTTTTTTTTTTGGGGGGGGGGGGGGGGCGTAATTGAGATGTAGTGTGATAAGATGCTGGCGAGTTGATATTAGTTCACTTAAGTTAGTTCCTTTCTCTTTGTTGATCTACTGGTTAATTGATTTCCCAGTTTATTTAGCTAGTAGTTATTGCTCTTGGAACCCAAAGGAATCTTGTTGTAAAGCTATAAATAGAGATGAAGGAGGTTTGATGACAAGTATTGCATTGTGATGTAAAAGTACAACAAAAATTACTAGGGGAGAGCGCAAATGCACAAGCACAAAATTTGATTTCCTGGTAGTGTTTTCTTTAAAAGCGTACAATACATACTAACGGAGCAAGAAGAAAATACAACAAAAATTAAATTGATCCATATCCAAATGGAAATAGGAATGACAATTAAAGAAACCCGGAGATTGGTTATTGTAGAGCAAAGGCGGCTGCAGAATTGAGAAGGGAGCGCAAAGAAGGTGATGGCGAGGGGGGATGATGTTTGGTGCATTCTTGAAGATTTAGGAATTGATCGTAACCTCCCACCATGGAATTTTCTTATGTACCTTGTCATGGCATTCTGGCTGATCCTGGCCGCCGTATTGGATCTCTATACTTGGAGAATTATCGCCATGAATACACACACAAGTTTATTGCTGCAGAAGCGTACCTTGGCATTGATGATGATTCTCCTGCTTCGTGGGATAGACTTTTTTCCAAGTGCCCATTGGGGAATCAGTTTCAGAGTTCTACAGCTTTTATAAACAGGTTGACACACTGCTTTTATAAACAGCTTTTAGGATATGGGTTATTTTTTCCTCTCCTTGTGAACCTAACCAATGAACATAAGCCCCAACTCCTTTTC